TATCGGATGACAATACTTTGCTGGATACACACGTTCGCCCACGTACTCAAAGGGATCACACACCAGTATTATCCAGGGAGTGAAGTCAGCTAAGCAAAGTCAGGAGGACGTTGGATGAAGGTGGTGGGGGGAGGGGGAGGAGGCATGCCAAATATAGCGCCGTAATGCAACATAACGATGACATCTGCGAATCGCTGGCCACTGGCAGACATTTTTATCAATCCTAACGTCGAGATTAAAGAGCATCCTGTCGCGGCCTGACTGGGCTGGCAGGCAGATCGGCAGACACGGCGATTCGAAGCACGACAATGTCTGTTTGCGCTAGTGAGTCGCGCCCGTCAGTGTGAGAGAAGACAAATAGAAGACAGCTGCCGTGGTTCATAGAAACGAAACGAGACGAGGCGAACCCTCCTCGTCTCTTTCACCCGGCGATGATGCGTGGTGCGGTGTTCAGCCGCGAGTACCCTCGACTGCGGGACCCACCGAGCAAATCGAGGGAAAGGGAGGAGGAATACGCGAGCGTATATAGATGTGTGGGAACAGTCGCAACTGAGAGAACGGAACGAAGGATAGAATGTAAATATCGGTAGAAGAAAATATAGGAAGAAAGGCGACGTACCAAAGCGAAGTCACAATACAGTAAATCCTCGTTGAGTGTTCGAAGGCTCCTCGACACTAAGCATTAACCCTCGGGGTATCGACGTTTTAAACATTCGTAGAAACAGCGATGTCTGCGTCCGTTTGAAACCTTATGCATCCTTATTTTGAAACATACTTTCGAACGCCATCGTTAAAAAAGACGAGATGTTGAGATTCACGGAGAAAATTGAGGAATTAACCCCACAGTGAGAGGAACGAAGGGAAACCGCGAGGGCACGAGAGAACGAATGAAAAGAAGAAAACGGAAATGAGATTGAAAGAAAACGCGTTCGAAAAAAAGAGGAAGAGTTCACAAAAGGTGTAAGCAGAAGAAAGGTTGAGGAAAGGGGGAAGAAAGAGAGGGCTGCGCGCAAGAGGAAAGGGAAACGGAGCCCGCGGCGGCGGCCCTGTGCCCGAACACACCGCGTGCGCTATGCGCGGCGTCTGTTTGTCCTTGCGTCTCCTGGTTGAACGCGCCGCCGTGCCATGCCAGTTGCCATGCCAGACACACTGCGCGCGCGCGCGCGCACGTCCCGTGGGTGACGTCACTCCCTGGGCAGAGGCGAGTTAATACTGATAAAGTGGAAGCGTGACACGCTCTTTAGGAGACGCGGGGATCAAACGGAGATTCGCGCATCTGGCAAAATTATGTACCAACAAAACTGTCGAACCTCGATTATCTGAAACGATCGGTCGACAAAATGTTAGGTTAGGTTCCGTGTCCGCACTCCAATAATTATTGATCGAGCAAATCTCCCTATTTCATCCCTTGTACAACGATACAATACTGGATGGTTCATTGTTACTTCCACGCCTACCTTTATTAATAAATAAGTTTTCCGTTCGATGGAAAATCTTTCCCTTTCGAAATGCGCGGGAATGGAAACTTGAAGCGGGTTTCTCCGTTTACTGCACGGGAGACGTACTGAGTTTCACAAATGCTTTTCCTTTGTGATAATTAGACTACGGATTTTAAGTTTAATTTAAAGTTCGTTTTGAGTGAAAAGTAAAGTTCATACTAATGTTTACGAAAATGTTTACTGTATTGTAATTTGCACACTCATGTTCATGATAAATGCATGATATCCGCAGTCTATTAATAATGATTGGCAACGAACGGATATTATAACTGTTAGTACAAAAATTGTGCAGAAACAGCCTATTTAATTTTTTATATAAATATAATATAATAATAAGGAACAATAATCAAGCTGGGTTCCGTAAATATACAGGCATCAGGCGTGCTTCGAGTACTCGGTATAAGTTGTCAATGGAACGCAATATGGGCGATACATGCGATGGGGTGGGGGAATTAGCGAGGGTCATGTAGATTCTTGAACGCTTGGAAACTCGAAATGGAGTAGGGGGGTGGATTCGTACCATCTGGACTTTTAATATCAGGGGTCGAGTCTAGATCACAATAAAGGGGAAAAAAAAGTTAATGAACAGAGGTCAATCTATTATTCTATTCTTGTGGTTCTCGATTTCTGATTAAATGCTTACGCTTTGTGCATACTAACGGGCAAATCTTTTTTCATTTGTACACTTAAATATACTGGGTGTTCGTCACAACGTGTATCCACGATTTTTGGACCACCTATATATATCATTAAAAAATACATCTGTTTTAAGTTTTTGCAATTAAGAATTTAAATATTTATATGTTGAATTGTATCACTACGAACTGAACGTTACTATTAAATATTTTTACAAGATTGTTAAATGTTAGAATTTATTTATTAAAATTTGATAATATTACTAATTTAAAAATTTAGAAACACATATTTCATACCGTATAATAGTGGTCACCATTAAATGGGGCGCCATCATGCATAAACCGTGAATGTCACCTTCTAATAGGTCAGGGAAGCTGTTGTATATGAGAACAACCGTCTCAATCGCTCGACAGAAGCGATCATAAACGAAAATCTAAGGTTATGTCGACAACGGCTCTAACGTAGGTATTCAGGTTCTCTACCGAAAGTGTTAATAATTTTAAACGCTTGGAAAAGCGTGAAACCTCACGTGGAACTGACTTTCTGGGAATAACTTGTTGAGGAAGGAATTTTGTCGGTAAGTTTTATGGCCGTTCCCGGCTGCTTTGCTTTTACTGCAGAGCAAATACAAGGAAACGATACGCTGGCTGATGTTACGTCGGAAGAGAAAGATTCAGTTTGCGAGTATATATGTACATATACGTATCCGCTGTTGATCGTGGCTTTCCAAGTCACATACGCGACGCCTATTAAACGTTAAGTAGCTGATATGGTTATTGCCCGCGGTTCAAGCGCCACTTTCGCTAATAAACGGTCCTACGTGAATCGCCTAATCTGTATAGTCTTATCTTGCAATTTACTGTAAGCCACAAATAAATAACATTCGTTAATTGCCAACACGATGTTAACAATAACATATAAATGTTATTAAAGTTTGTTAAAGACTTTATTTTACTGCACGTTTTACGTTGTGTAGGCCAGATTTGGCCAGTGTATTTGAGGGTTAATAGTCAGTCTTCATATTTCATGCGAAATAAAATGTTGGGGTACTATTCGTTACTATTTTCAAATTGTAAATTAAACGTTGGGAATTGTAGTGATTACTGGCTAATTGTTAACATGCGTTGATATGAAGGAACGGCACCCTCCATTTCCGGAAATATAATATATAAAATTTTAGACGAAGCGTCTGTTGGATAAATGGTGACAGTATACCCCCATAGTCCTCAGGATGTAATAGCATAACGATAACGTGTATTCTGTTACGTTTTCCTTACGCGAAACGTGGCGCCAGCATGAGCGCACCACGGTCGATTGTTTCTCTCGAATATTTTCTTTCGAAAAGAGAAAGCTGACCCTTCCAGAAGAGTTCGCCAGGCGTTACCTTATACCTTCATGGGTTACCGGATCCGCGGATAAGAAAGACGATATCGATGCAAAAAACTTCGGCAGTGCGATAGCGGCTAACCTCGAAAATTGTCCGCAGGGCCAGACATGGGGATTCTGTCGAATCATAAAGTCGTGACCTCGTCACCGTGACACGCAGAAATTTTATACATAATATTGTAAACACAGAGAAGTATAGCAATTATAATTATGCCCGATATTAGTCAATAGTTTGTTTAGAAGATAACAACTGCTGTTATCAATATGTCCACTAAGACATCGTTGATGACAAACGTGTTATTTTACTCGTAGGTACAAGGTCATAGATTAATTACTTACTATCTATATAATTATTATTAATACTGACGATAAAAAACGTATGTAGATGAACAAATACAATTATTAACAATCATTTAATTATTAGGATAAATTTTGTGACACCAATTTCCGTTGTAGCTACCGGGACAGTTAAGTAAAATAGCACGATGATAAATGTGTTAATAATTGCACAAATGTTTATGGTTAATTCAGAAATCGTAACGATACACCTGAATAGCGAGCCACGTGAAAGAATGTGTCTATTCTTTGTATTTCGATGTATCTTATGACCTAAGGTGAGAACCTTGGGGTACATTGCGCTCCCTTCATATATGTATATACTTGTGTGCCGTGTAATACGAAGACAGAAGTTACAACATATGCAGAAGCGAGAGGGAAGTGCGGAAGCTGGAAAGAGAACGGTACGCCGGTGAGCGAAAGATGAAAAAAGACAAGGAAAGAAAAACTCCGGGACCGGTGCATGTTCCTCTACGCATGCCACGTGTTTTACCACCTGCCTTGGGCTAGCGCGCTCGATAATATAAAAAAATATACGCACGGAACATTTAAATACACGGCTACCGCGAGAACCCTCCAGATAACAATGAACGGTCTCGTTTCAATGTGTTTCGCAGGACTCGTCTAACTTGAACACTGTCGCGAGTCATTCGATAAAAGTTCAAAAATAATAAAACCCGATCTTCGAATATTTATTAAATATTCTTTTATCACAACCCAAAAGTACCTACATAGATACACATTTAACATTTACATATTTATAGGAAATAACATATGTATATACTTTTCTTAAAGAAATAAATAAAAACGCCACAAGAACAAATTATTCGCGCGAACCGTTTGATTCTACCACTCGATATTCCACCAGTTCGTGACCCGAGTTTAAGGCCAGGAAAAAAGACAACCGATAGATCCGATTGCGATACGAACCGGAATTTCTGCCGCGTACACGTTTTGAATTGAAACTCTATTAGGCTTTCGAAACATGTAATTGTAGCCACTGTTCGAGCAACATGACATAATTGGCATCGACCTTAATCTATGTTTATTATGGAACGACGAGAAGGAGGACAGATCGTCGAGAGAGAGAATGACACGGTGACGACAATTTCAAGTTTACGAGAAAGAGATAAAGAGACTCACTTCTTTTCGGCAAACCGCATATCGTTCAGTGCTGCATCATTCGCTGAAGACCACCCGATCCACAAAACCACGGTCGTCAGATGACGAATTAATCACTATAAATCTCCTCCGGTCGACGAACTCGACAACATGGCCGAACTCACCCTCCAATAACAAGAATTCGCAACCTCTAAGGGAAAGGACGCACGGAAGACTGTGTCAAGTCGCGAATGCTCTTCGTCGAGTACGTACGGAAACGAAGGACGTGATCCCCTTGACTGTACGCGTTCAATACGATGCTTTTGTTTATACACAAGAGTTGACAGGAGTGACTTAGATTTCAGGTCGCTGTGGGTCATTTGGCATTCACACTGTACAGGGTAATTTTTCGCACCGAGAATTGTCGGCACGATACGCTTGCTGCTGCCATGTGTTGCTCGAATGATGAACTATATTGTCCTCTGTAGATAAAATACAAATGTAGATAGATACAAAGGTGCAATAAACGAGCTTCTACTATACCTGAATCATGTTTTGTCGGTATTGTCGGGTATGACACTAAATGGTAATGGACGCTAGCGCCCCCCTAAATCGGGTCGCGAAAATGCATCGCATGTCAGGACCTCTGTGAAGTTGGCCGGACAATTATGACTTTTTAACGTTTCATTATACCCAACGATTGGTGGTTGATTGGTCGTCGATTGGTGGTCATTGGTGGCCTAATTACAACATTTGGTGGTCAAACGACCTTTTGCGTTTCTGCTTTCACTAAACCCTCGCAGAGCAAAATCGGTTACGAAATATAAGTTTTATCCACCAAAATGTGTTTCAATATTCCTGTATTCACTTCTCAGCCAATCACAGGTTTTGATGCTTGCCTTACTGCAGAGGTACGAATTTTCATATATTCTGCTTTAATTAATGACCACCAAATGTTTCAATTAGGTCACCAATCATTAGCACACCTTTCTAGATCGATTGATTCATCCGAAAATACAATCAATCCAGAAATATCTGTTTTATCAACTTTAAGCGTGCGTTGGTACACCTGTATCCTGAAACTGCCAGATGACTACATCGGTTTTTTCATTTTTTATAGAAACTAACTATCACCAAATGTTGTAATTAGGCCACCAATGACCACCAAACGATTACGCATCGATTGGGTATAATGAAACGTTAAAAAGTCACAATTACCCGGCCAACTTCACACAGGTCATGTCAGGTCTATCTTTATATCTAGTCTTTGTCATCTGTCAAATGCCGGTCAAAATTGCACACAAGTTCCCGCGCAAAATTTATTGTTAACACGCAATTTTTACTGTTTGTTGTTAACGTAGAAAGTTTTCATTGTACAATTAAATATGAAATTTCGTTGTAGAATGGTGGACGTGGTTGCTATGAGAGACTTTACGAGTGAGTTTAACCGTTGTAGTACATTTTTAACCCTTTCTGACGTTTCTGCAAATGTTATTTGTTTACAGTGACAGTTTCCAACAAATGATCATGAATAGACTGCGAAGACATAAGGGAGTTTAGTTCCACTTTTTGCAAATTAATCTATGAAATTGTGAATTTGCATAAACACCTACATTTTAATCTGGAATAATTTATTATTCTCAAATGCATTTTCAGTTGTATTTTTACGATGTAATTCAATTATAATTAAAGCATGTTATTTCAATTCGGAAACATCCATTTTACTTCCCGTACATACTTTTAACTTGAAAAAGTGTTTAAACATAGAAAACTCTATTTTATTTCAGATATTATTAACATTCTTTCCCGATTAACAAAACAATGTACATTGAGATTAACAGCGACCGAGCTGTGCTTTAGCGTCGGCGACGATCGAATAACAATGGTATGGGCAGAATTACGTCAAAATCATTTCTTCACCGAATATGTTTTGAACGGGGTTACCGAGGAACAAAATGAAATTTATTTAGAATTTGATGCGACTATGCTAGCAAGGTCTTTAAGTGCTTTGAGAATGACCGCAAAAAGCGTTAAAATCAAACTAACTAATAAACGGCAACCTTGTCTGTCATTGGAAATCGAACTACCTTCGTTGAGCATCGATTCGAGACAATGTTTGCACGATGTTCCAGTCAGAGTTATACCCCGGCGAGAATGGCCGGAACACCAAGCACCAAATATACCGGAATTCGATGTAAATTTTGATACACCTTTTTCCTATACGTTTACTTGTACTAAATTTTGGCATAAAAATAATTCTAGAGTAGCATACATAGGTCATTTGCCACTGTATCATTTATGTATTTTACATGACAGCTTGTATTGGTGAAAAAGAAAAAGTACACTCGTAAACTTCGACCCCTGAAATTTGAAAAACAATTTTGCAGTCACCTAAAGAAAATGTATGAGTTTTTTCTGATAAAGTTTCAGTGATACATGTATGCTATTTTATGTTTGCGGAGATCTTCGTGCGGATGCAAGATTCATTACATCTTCATACATTTTAGATATCGTTGGATATGCCGCAACTTAAACATGTAAGAAATATTGTCGAGAGAATGAAGAACATGAGTCCGCGATTAACGTTAAGTGCCGACAAGTCCGGCACGTTTGTGCTAAAAATTGACACGGATAGTGCAACGGTTTCTACACATTTCCAAGATCTACAAGTTTGGAGCTGCAGTCAAAAAGATTGCAACGACAAAATATCGGCTACCATAGACGTTAAGAAGTTTTATACGTTTCTGGGCTGGGATATTGTACATCCCGATGGCGTAAAATGTAACATGCTTGAAGACAGAATGGTAAACTTACATTTACACATGCAAGATCATTTGAAAATACATTATTTTATTCCTGCAATGACTACTTGAGCCATTCTTCATGTTATAAATACTGCATGTAACGAAATTATTCGAAAACAACATAAATATATATTCGTTTTTTTATATAATTTGTCTTCCCTTACTTTATTCCTTTTTCCTTCTTAATGCATAAAAACAATTGCCATAAAGTGGGCGTTTCGCAAAGAAGTGTACAAACTCTGCACTGAACGGTTATTCGGTAATTAGAATTAATTATACGCTAAATTGAAACTTCGTTCATTTTCCTGTCTAAAGTTTTGATGCATCTGATCAATCTGTTGTATTTTCTGATTAAGTAAGGCTGTTTGTTGGTCTAACCATTGCAAACTATTCATGTGCGCGTTCAATATTTTACCAATTTGAACGATTGGATCGCTAGAGTCTTGAGTACGATTGGCTTGATTTAAGTGTTCTATAATTTCCTTCAAATCTTCCGACATTCGTTTTAGTTGAGTATCGAGGTCTTCTGCTAAACGGTAAGTGTATTCTCTTTCTGGGTCCGAAACCGAAAGTGACGCTAATTCTTTTTCCAGTGGTACTAAACAATCTTGCAATTCCTTTTGTTGGCCAACCTGTATATAATTAACACACGCTTTGCCAAAATAAATTCATAAATTATATTACTTCTGATCTACTAGTAACAGAAACTTACAACATAATCTAATTCGTGCTCCAATTGTTGCTGCTCAATTTTCACTCTTTCAACTTCTTGATTAAGTCCGACTATTTTTTCTCCGTTAGTTATAAGCAATTTGTCCCAAGCATTTACCTGTGCAGCTTGATTGACAAATACCTTTTCCTGTTCTTCCAATTCTAAAGTCCATTTATTGATAGAGTCTTCAAATGAATTTATAGAAGCTGGATGGCTTGCTACACTTGCGGATGAAGTTACTCTGCAATCATTCATTTGTTAATATATAAATCCACGTATATTTATTTATTGCAAAAGATATTTTACTTACGTAGTAGTTGTACCTAATGACAGTTGAGTACTAGGAGTTGTGAGGCTGGGAGTGGTAGAAGTTTTGTTTAAAGAGAACCCTGTTGTAGTTGCTGCAGTTGTTCCTGTACCAAAGGTAAATCCTGTGGCTGTAGAAGTTGTTCCACTTGAACTTAAAGAGAAACCTGTGGAAAGTATTGTTTAATATTCTAGAAATACTAAAACTGAGAAGCTTATGGAAAATAGATTTAATCTGTTTGGCTTCTGAAATGCTCATTTACATAAATAGTTTAACTTCAATACCTGCTGCTGCTGTAGTTGTTGTAGCTGTTGTTGTTGTTGCAGCAGGTGCTGTACCAAGAGTAAATCCAGTGCCTGCTGCTATTGTGTTTGATGTCCCAAATGTTAAACCAGTTGTGGGAGCAGTTGAAGCAGCTAGACCACCACCCAAGGAAAATCCACCTGTAAGTGGTTTGGCTCCAAAACCTGATGCAGGTGGTGCTGTTGTTGTGGCAGTGGGGGTGCCTCCTAAACTAAAACTTGGAGTACTTCCAACTGGTGCTGGTGCGGGAAAAGCTTTAGGTGATACAATATTAGTTGCACCGGGAGTTATCCCAGTATTTGCAGCTACACTTGTGCCAAAAGTTAATCCAGATGTTTGTGGTATTGCAGTATTAACAGGAGCTGCAGCAGGTGTCCCAAAACCAAACCCAGTCCCCTGAACTGGTGTAGTACTCAACCCAGGACCAAACATAAGACCAGGTTTATTTTGTGCTGGTGACTGTATCAATGAAAATCCTGTTGGTTTTAATGCATCTCCAGCACCTGTGGCTCTAAATGTAAAGGCTGTAAAAAATATACACTTTATTACATGCCCTGATATTGTAAGATTCTCAATTCTTACTTGTTGTTGGAATATTTGCAGCTGCGGTGATATTAGGTTGTGTCTGCAAAGAATTGAATGTGAAACGCATGTTTACTATTTATGTATATTTTAGTTGCACAATAATGTAGTTAATAATATATTTAAAATTAGAGTGTACGATTGTTAACTACGTTTAATGTTCGTTCACTGGCGTTAGCTGTTATTTATTATTTACCATATTGTTGCCGTTCCGTAAACAAGTATTCCAAATAACCTTGTCAACTTCAAATGTCACTGACCGTAAAATAAACGTTTAAAGAATGTTAACAATGATAATCGAAGTAACAAACTATTTTAAGACACTGTTGTCAGCCTCTACATTTAACCTATTCTCGATTACCCATGTAACTGAAATTAAATTGCTTCAAAAACGTAACTGTAAAGCACGCCGTGCAAGCCGTGCTGTTTCTAACCATAAACAGGGTATATGATAGATCACTCATCTTATGGGGTTTGTATATTAAGTCATCTGTAGTACCGACGTCTGAAAAAAACTTTTTATTTGAATCATTATCTCGTAACTTGAAGAGACCCCGCGTTGCAGATGTGGGGTCATAGAACCCCCAAGCTAGCGGAAGAGAGTCCGTGTGTACGACATGTTGGGGTCATAGAACCCCCCGAGCTAGCGGAAGAGACACCGTGTGGCAACATGTGGGGTCATGGAACCCCCTGAGCTAGAGGAAGAGATCCCGTGTGTCGGCACGCGGGGTCATATGACCCCCAGGGTAGCGGAAGAGACCCCGTGTGTGCGGCTTGTGGGGTCATGGAACCCCAATAGCATGCGTAAGAGACCCCATGTGTGTGAGATGTATTGTACATATTCATTTTTCATATATAACTTGTATTACGTCTATCGTGTATAGTTTATACATTCGTTTATGTTTATATGTTTTATATTTTATATCAAATATTTACATAAATATATAAAGTATGGTATTGCATTTTATTCTCTCTCAACACAAAAGCAACTTTTGTGGTGGGTAACAAGGTTAGAAAAATATAATTCGTTACAATTAGGTATCGATACTTTTGTTTCGATACCGAGTAAGTATCGATACCTTCATACAAAAGTAGTTATGGTGGTACCACTGTAGTAAGTCGTCCATAGAAAACTATCCCCTACTTTTAGAAACGAAACGTTTTTCAACTACTTGCGGCGTCTTCTTTGCATTTCAAAAGTAAACTTCGAAAACTAAACCCAGTAACATTGTAACGTAGTACTGAAGTTTTACGTTAACAGTGCAATGGAATGTTGTTAATGAACGAAGAATTTATGGTATATACAAACTGTATGATATTTTTAAGAGGTTATAAAAGTACCTTTCCTTCGTGAATTAATAACATTAATTGTTTGTAGTGTATAATGATGTAAATGTTAACAGAGTGCGTGTATAGCTATGTACAATTCCTCGGAACGAAGATGATTTTAAATCAACCAACCTCCATGTGATACATAAATATCTACAATTCATATTCTTTTCGTTGTAACGACTACTTGACGTTACATACACAAATTCCACGCAAAAAAGCATACGTCAGTGCATTACATCAATATCGAGTGAGAGAACACGCATTAGGGCTAAAAAAGAGTGTACGCATACGCATCTGTGATGCGTTCGCTCGTTTCCAGAACATTTAGCCGGTTCGGTAATCTGTGCCTCGCCATACGACTGTTAGTCGAGCCGGACTTTGCTTACGAAAGTTGAATGGTACGAGTTACGACCCACGCGATGGTTTACATTACGTGGCGAGCGTGCGTCAGAGATGTTACTGTCTGTAACGTTTGTCCGTTTCTCGACGTTGTAACACTTCGTGCGTGAAGAACTCTTCGTATCTCGTGTTTCGAAAGTGGAAAGCAGTGTGTTTACCTACCCGACTCACAAGAAGAACGACAAGGCGGCAAAATTGTACCGTGTGTAGATATTTTAAACCTGGGTTATAAAGATTTCTGTAGAACGAGGAATAAACGAAACAGTACGATGGAAACATAAATCAAGTCTCACAATTAACTCTTACATCAGACCCACGCGTTCACTGTGTTTAATCACGTTGCATCTGTTAAAGTGCTCCTACAGGATCAGAGTAGTTTAGTGATACAAAGAGGGAACGAGCGATTTTTTGCGTTCAGACACCGAGAAGAATTCATACCAAGCCATTATAACATATCCACCGAACATGAAGATTCGTATGAATTAGTGCTGGTTTATCGCCGCGTAGTTTTACGCATCTCTTATTTCTATCCTTAACGAACCAATGACCCGTTTCGAAATCGCAGCTCACACGGCGATAACTGGACAGAAGATATTCGATATTAGAATCAGAAACATCTCGGTTTTACTTATTCATTCGTTGGATTGAGTACACCGTCTAGCACGCGTGAATCGTATCAAACGTTCTTCGAGCATTTTTTATTTTTATCGATTATTATTATTGTTTAGATTACGATGTCTGTACTCGTTAAATTCTGCGCGTGCCTTTGCCTCGTTCACGTCGCCGTCAGTTCAACCTTGTCTGCACCCCCCCAGTCGGCAGTGGTTGTCGCTTTCGAAGATGTCTATGATATGTCGCTATTAGCCAACACTTTGTCGGATGAAGGGATCGATACAACCCTAATAATACCGGCATCGAACGAGCCCGATCTATACGAGACGTTGATCGATGTGGAAGTGGTGACAGTCCGCGTGGAAAGTGCCCACGTCGACGAGTCCGCGTATTCGGACAGCAGAGCGATCAAGATTTGCGAAGCATTCTTGAACGATGACGAGATCGCGAGGAAAATGTCAGAACTTCAACCGACGTTCGCCATATTTCCTGCTCTTAGGTGTGTGTTCTACTTTTTAAATCGGAAGAAAATTTCCGTAAACACATTTCACTTGGGTACACGGTATATACGTGTAGTTCAAATGTTACCTTCTTGTCTTTATTCTGTCTTAATATCGAAAGGAAGAGTACATTTCCCCGAAGATGTAATGTCCACAGCAAACGACCGGACAAGCCCACGCGGCACGATCGCGAATCTATACTTAATGTCTGATCATGTTTTTCCGGCCCAGTGGAATTATGGATATCCGAAATCTTTATTTTTGGTAACGGAAAAAACCTTTACGTTATCGTACGATAAAAAAAGGAAGTCGCGTAGTTACGGAATACGAACCTATTATGTTTTCGTTGATTTAGCATTTCCAACACAGAAAGTATATTATCGCTATTTCTCGTGATCCAGATATAATAAATAAATAAGAAAACAATTATCGGGAAATTTTTTATTTGTAGGCATGACGGTTGTTTGATACCGTGGACGAGAAACATCCGGTCCATTCCAGTAATATGGACGCGGAATCGTGACGAAGAGGTGTACGTGTTCGAGTACATGGGCGCCGCTTTGCCGGTTCAGAGCGACGGTTTTTGGACAAGGCTGCGAACAAGTTTCTCGCGGAGGTCAATATTCTCCGCGGCCAGGGACAAGTACGCGGCGTATGCTCTCCGGATAGCGGGAAAATACTTGCCAGATACCGGTCTTAATTTAGACAATCTTTATGCGGATGTTCGCCTCATACTCTGGGGAGCTGATGTCCTCCTGCGCTCGGATTTCGCTCCGCTCACGCAGCTGATAGTCGAGGTAAGGTGGGATGGAAAAACGTTCTCGGGCTTCGGGCCTGGTTTATGCTTTCCTGGTAAAGCGTTCCCTAACGTTCGATTTGTTCGATCGCAGGTGGAATATTTTTGCCGTAGTCGTTATACCACAAATGTGTTCAGTGCAAAACCATTTCCTGCAACGTGTTTTTCGCTAATAGTACCATAAATTATTATATTTTAAATTATTGTCGATAGCGATGAAATTTCATTCTTATTTCACGTGGCTCGATGAAGTTACTTATTTGACGTGGGGTGTAGTGGGCGGCTGGCTGGAGGCGTGAAAATGTCCAGTATATATTTAGATTGTTGATGTGAAAGTAAATAATTATAGGGAAAATTTTGTTCCTTTGTATAAATAGTAATATTTGAAACATTTCAGGTCGGCTGTCATCATTGTAGAGGAGCACACCCGTTGCAAGAGGATCTACACAAGTCGTTGATTGAATTTCGACTGGGCACGATTGTAGCCCTTCTGGATAAAAGCTACGAGAAGTTGATCATAGAATTGGCACAGAAGTTGCCTCAAGGCCGGGATGGCCAAGCGGTCGTTTGGAAGAGTATGCACCGCCAAAGTTCCGTGTTACCAAAGAACCTCTTTGTTCGTCTGACGGACGATCGACAAGACCTGATAGGTAGACTAGATGGAAACCTTATAATCTCTGGATAGAATCCTGATAGGTTCATGACGGAGCTACCGATAACAGTAGCTTCCAATAGAAACTCTATACCCTTATATGTGAACGCTTTAAAATCAGTGGCTTTCGTCGTACACTTTAATCGAATTTTGAATTTCTTCTCTTTCCCATAGGTATTAATAGAAACTAGTTACTCAGTTTCACATTCTAACTAATTTCATTCAAGGAGAGAAACAGGGTGGAAAGTTAAATGTGTTATAGACAAATGTCTGTAAACTGACCACAGTTCTAGTTTCCAATTTAGTATTACCCGTTTCAATAATTATAACTTACCTTGGCAATGTAACAATTAGAAAAACTTTATCTCTGAAATTATGTCCACGAGTAGATATCGTAGTTAACTAATCTTATTATTCTGTTACAGGCTACGGGCGTACAAGGGTGGTGTTAAGTCATTGCGCCGATCCGGAGCTCCTTGAATCCGGCTTTCATGGAACACCGGTGATATGCTTCCCCAGAAACGCCCACGAATCGAAGAACACGGCTCGCGCGGTACAGTTGGGTTTCGCGCGCTCCGCGGAGGACATGCCCGCCATCTCTGGCGAGGAGACGGCAAACACGGTGAACCATATCCACGAGAGTATGGATTACCGCGAGAACGCCCGTAGAGTTTCTTTGGCCATCCGCGACAGGATAAATCCCGCCGTGGACAGGCTGATTTACTGGCTTCGTTACACAGCACGGACTAAGGACGGGAATCTGGAATTTCTTACGGCGATCAGGCCGGCAAGAACGGCTAACGAGGACCTGCAGTTTTTCCTCGGCTTGTTCGTGGGCAGTATAGTGGGGATTTTTTCGACCGTCGGCTGCATGTTGGCGCGGTATCTGTTCGTCTCGAAGAGGGCGCAGCGGTCGAAGGGAAGGTACACCCGGTAAAAAAGCTCTGGCACACAAGAGCCTTTAAAACGAACCTGACGTTTCATGGAACTTTGTATATTGTATTACATATTCCAAATGCAGGATACGCCTGATATCTTATGAAAGTGTGTGTGTTACGCGTGTCTTGGAACATTAATCTTATAAAATATCTGGAGGAATCGTTACGTTCTCTATGATTAAGAACGGTGATGCTACGAACTACATTTACCGTAGCCATTGGAATTGATAGGATACTTCTCGAATGATCAATGTATATCATGACCGATTCCGAAATTTTGTATCGTTAATAACTTTGTAGTATGTTTTTTTGTGAATTAATAATGGTGAAGATACTCTAACACTTCCCATTACGCGACCGCTAAAATACATTTCTTATCGGATGTACCGTACAGCTCATCCCGTGATTAAGGACTGAAACGGAGGTGGTTGAATACGGACACTTTTCGCATATGTATTTATATAAATGCACGTAGAGTACAGGTACATACAAATACAAATGTTACGAGCTAGGGTGTTATCGCATTGCTAATGAAGAGACGTAACTATTACGAGAATACTTGATCGTTAAGTTGATTGATCGGAA